AAATCACTGGAGATAATATGGACATGGTCCTTCGTGAATGTTTTAGAATTATTCCACAAGTCCTGCCTTGGACCCTGGCATTCTTCAAACACATTGATTAAAAAAAATTCCATTTTCTCAGTAGCACAAAAAGTCTTTCCTCATGGAAGCTCTATAGATTCCACATATCATTTCAGTCCCAGTATATAATATCAAATCTACCAAGAAGCACCAGGTTCTGAAGTAAGGTCTGAGTCTTGAAGAAAGTTTTCAGAAAGCCAGTATTCAAGCTTTTTTTCAATCACTGGTATGACCAATAATTTTAACTGATCACCAGATTCAGAAAATAGAATGCAATGCTATTAATTGACCAAACAAGGGACAATCTGTCCAGTAGCTAAGGAAGGAACACCTTGCCATTTCTCAGAAGATACAACTCAAGACTTTCTAGAGTGTTCTCCTCAGAGCTTCCTTTTATCACATAAAGAATGCACTCAGCCTGTGTTTAAATTGTCAAAGGGTTCATAGTCGGCAAGTTTTTCTTGGGACTGTTTCTGTCTGAATATATTGGCAGACACTCAAAGACAATCTGAAGCAAGAGAAAGAAACAATGGCTTCAGGTGAATCTGAAAATCATGGGCAGTGAATATAATGGTGACATCTGGAGATATCAGGTCTATGGGAAACCAGAAAGCTCTTATTTTATCCATTCTGATAACCAGGAAGGAGCTCTGTTCCCCCCTTATCCCACCCATTGGTTTTTTCCTTGGTTTCCAAATTCCATTATTTTTTTAACCATAGTAATCTAGAGACAGTCTATTCCATGGTGTTGAACAAAAATCAGATTTTCTTTACTCTCATTGCAGTCTCCTGTGCAAGATATAGGAGAAGATGGACATCCTTTTCTGTAAGTGTGACCTGATTTTGTCGGCTAGAATCCCATAGTAAGAAGTGTCACCAAACCAAAAAAGTCATATTAAATCAAAATATTAAAGATCAAGGCCTAGAATGCTCATCCTCTTTCTGGAATCAATGATGCCTCTGGAACCCTTATTTGTCAGAACCCTGCAAGGAAAGTGGAACAAAAGTCATTGTAGTTGTACCATCCATTAGTGCTGTCATTTTGGCATGACATGACTGAACAACACAGGACAAGCCAAATCTAATCCCTGATCAACAATGTTACCTAAGCAGTGAACTGAGCATCTGCTGCCCTCTCTCACACTTCACCTCCCTTCTCAAACTCCCATGAAAGTCACACTCTGGTCAGAGGGGATTGTTTTGTTCCTCCTCTTTGAAGGGACAGACACTCTGACTTCTGGAGCTTTTCCTTGAGGGCTTTGATCAAGACCAGGTGAGCAACTGTAAAGTCTAATCTTTCATTTTTTAACATTTTTCTCTCCTTACATACCTGGGCTCAGCATGGAGCTGCAATAGGAAGAGAACATGAATGAAATTCTGATGCACTCATTGGATGAGATATATATGGCTCATTCCATTGCCATTACTTGTCTGACTCCCACCAGTCTCCCAAGAGTACAACCACCCTCTCTGAGGAGCATGTGGTTTACTCTACTCTGGATATGGCAAGTGAGTATATCCCTTATAAGGAGATAAGGTTCCTGATGGCTTCCCACGGAGCCTCCCTATTCTTTAAGTTCAGCATTCTGTGTGGGTAGAGTGATCGCCCTGCAAGGATGTCCTGTACTTGTTGGTTTAAGTCAAAAACAAGGATGAGGTTTGAAGCACAGACATTAGGTGGGTCATGCAGCTTGCCCTCTTCCTGTTTTCAGCCACACCTCTCCCACCTTTGCATTCATTGCCAAATGAAGAGTGTGAAACAATGCGGTCTGGGGTGAGGAGAGTGAACGTATCCAAAGAAACCCAAACAGTTCATCGTCATGCAGATGCCTCATCATCTGTCCAAAAGGATGTTTTGAAATGGGTCATCTCAACTCTACCTTTCTTGTTAAGTATCAATTCAAAACAGTGTTCTTTAAACATTTGTGGCTATCCAAGAAAGATGGCAAATCACTTATATTTTTGGAGATGGTACCTGGCTCCCTGGCTCTGAGCTCCAGTTTCAAATTCTCCTTGCCCAGGTATGGCATTTTCCCTGAAGGGAAGGCTTCACCCTGTCACCTGCAAAATCCATGAATGCCAAGTATCCTGTGTCCTTGGAGCACCAAAAATTTTTTCATTGGGAGAGTTTGTATGTTCCATCTAAATCTAATTTCAGTGTTTTTTCTCATCTGAACCAATATCAAGCAAAATGTCATATTGAGACAAGTTACCACACAAGTTCTAGAAAGCAGCTAAGCACTTTCCCAAAGATCTCTGGAGAAAGGTGCATGCTTGACTGTTTTTCAGAGTTCAGACAATGGACGTATGTCAATAATCTATAAGAACAGTACCTACTCACTTGGTCCCCAAAACATGGCCAATTATTTCTCATAAATACAGAGTACCTTGGTTTAAGGTCTCCTGCATTATTCTTCTTAGGATATCCCAGTGTACCCAGAGAACATTTATATGTTTGTGTTTGTAGAGTGTAAAGCAGGAATTATGTAATATGACTGGTCCCAACTGAATTTAATGGCAGAAAACAAAAAAGATACTAAGGATGAAGGACAAGAGCCAAAGGCCCCCAGGTAACTCTAATAATCAAGAGCTGTTAAATAGTATAATGGATCAGGCATTATTATCTTATGCATATATATATGACTGCATGACTGATGTGATTCTACAACATGTGCAATCAGAAAAATGAGAAATTATACCCCATTTATGTATTTTAAAATGCATAAATGCATTCTACTGTCATGCATAACTAATTAAAACAAATAAAATTAATGCTAATTATTGTGATATGTTGATTACAGATCATATTTCCTCCAGATCCCAGGGAAAAATGGATCTACATTATTTACATATCTATTGCATACAATCAGCCAACTTCAAAGTGCGTTTTTGAAGTGTGTTGCTTCCTTTCTTCAATTTTTATGTACTGATTACCAATACTTATTAATTTCTTAACTAAAATAGAGTTCACATAAACTATAAATGCTCATGGACTTCTGGCATTATGAGTCCGAATTGCATTGAAGGACCTTCAGAAACACCTCTCTCAAATCCTTATACTTTATCAATATCCCATCCCACTCTGATGTTTTCCCTTCTACCTGCATTAGGAATTTCTAAGTCATGCTCAGGCTTAAGAGCTGGGACCCAGTTACCCCAGCATTCACAGAAAGGGAGAGATGCCTCCTTCTTTCTCAGTCAGCATCTCAAGGGCTTCCTCACCAAGGAACACTCCTACCTGGGGCAGGCCCTCTGAAAGCAACTGGCTGGTGGGAGCAGGCTGGCATAGCACTTTGTCCACAAGCTCAGTTCAGATTAGTGGCCTTAGGCCCTTGCTACACTGAGTGACTCCATGGGTCCCTGGGTCACAGAAAACTTCACACCTCTATAAGTAACATTTTTACCAGGATGAATAATAAACCTCACGTGTGGACCATGGCAAGGTCAAGCTGGCTTGGTTGGAAAGACAAAGGAGACACCTACAAGGGGTGAAGGCCAGGATTAAAGAACAATAAGTGTCAGGGTGGGAGACTGTGGGGTAAAAAGAGCCCTGGTGGAAGAATGAATTTCTCAAATACTATCCTTAGTGCTGCCTTTACTAATTGTGGGCATTAATTTTTCCTTCGTGAATTTCTGTTTCTTCATCTATAAAATGGTGACAAATGTCTTCCATGTACTAATGGCAAAACGTGGAAATGTTTCCTAACGCATTTCAAAAAAGGATTAGGTTCTTCTTTGGGATTGGATAGGAAATTGGCTTAAAGAAAGTTGATGTTTAGAATGTGGGTTTACACTGAAATATTTACCATTCAGAGTTTTCTCTGGTAACAAAGCACATGTCAACTTATCAATCCATGTGCTGCTGAGATTTGTAGAGGGGCTTGGATCAACGTTATCCCTCCTCTTCTTAGAGGAAGGAGTTGGATCTACATGAGAGCTGAGATGGGACACAGAGTAATTGCCTGGACACCAGTTTTGTGGCAGGTAGAAGGATACAGATGGAGAAGTGGCAAAGAAATCTAGATGAGTAACTGGTATTTTAGGGAACAAAAAGAATTTTTTCTTGTCATCATTTTTTTAGACAAAGCATGCTATTGTGATTCACAAGATTAAATTTTTTTTTCTGTAAGGATCATAAATCCAAACCAGACAGTGACTTCAAAGATTATAATGGGGCTTTTCAATACAACTTTCTCGGTGTATCCTAAATTCATAAATAAATATTTATGTTACCAATGCTTAGATAGGTGAGGGTGACACAGAACAACTTCATGTCTGACAGATTTTTCTGAATTTGCACACAATCATAGAAATGGGGCAGAAGAAGAAGAAGAAAATCCACTGTTGAAAATGAATGAGCAGGACAGATCAAATATGGAGAGGGTTCTTAGAAGAACAGAGAAAATGTGGCCAAATAATAAAGACACAAAGACACACACAAACTATGATTTTACCAAATTCATTAACCCATTAAACTTGTGTGTTTTCCTTCTGGTACTTGTAGAGTTACTCTGAATTCATCTCAGGGGATATTCTATACTCCCAGATCCCATCCATCTTCTCATGTCACAGCAAGGAATGCAGTTAGATATATATCTATACATACATATGTTTGTATATATATATACTATAATCATGTGCATACATATAGATATATGTTTTATATGTATATATATGCATATATACATACACACAAATGTATTTTTTCATAGTATTCAAAGAAAAAGACCAGCAAGTACATGAACCACCAACGTTGGGTATTTGCTAGTCTCCAGGAGCTAAACTGGCAGTTGCAAAAAATTTAAGGAAGTTGCTCAAATCGTACCAGAATTCTGGTTTGAAAGCTTCAAAGGGATAGTGTCATAGAAATCTGTCATAGCCCTAATATCTCATCATTCATTGAGTTCTAATTATAAATTTCCCCTTGTATCCTACCTTAGGGATTTCAATTTTCTGATTGAAGTTCAGCCATGAGAGTTGGCCCAGTTAAAGCAGAAGCTGCGGGAAGGAAAAGACGCTTCTTTCTTCATCAATAGGCATCTCAAGGACCTCTTCACCCAGCATGATCCTGAGAACCATCGAGAGTCACTGGCTGAGGAGGGCAGGCTGGCAAACAATATCTTGTTCACAAGCAGAGCCCAGGTGAGGTGCCCACATGGAGCAGCTCCAAGGTGCACAGCTCCCATGAGACTCCACTAGGCAAGCAATATTTGTACCTACTCTCCTGGTATCTGCTTTTTGTTTGGAGTCTTGAAAGATTAGGACTGCCTCAATGGGAAGACATACCATCAAGAGCATGTAACATTTACCCAGCATTCTCTCAGGAAGAAGAGTGCAACAGGTGAAAGTTTGTGAGATTGAAAATAACTGGGGCTAAAAATGAAAACTTTCTAGGTATCCTCATATTGACATTATTGTGAGCAAAGGGGTGATTTATCCTTCCTGATTTATGTTTCCTCATCTCAAAAACTGTTTAAAATACACATTGACACGTTGCATAGCCAGGCATGGTGGCACACACCTGTAATCCCAGCAGCTTGGGAGGCTGAGGCTGAAGGATTGTGAGTTCAAAGCCAGCCTCAGCAAAGGCAAGGCATTAAGCAATTCTGTGAGACCATGTCTCTAAATAAAACACAAAATAGGCTGAGGATGTGGCTTAGTTGTTGAGTGCCCCTGAGTTCAATCCCTAGTATCAAAAGTAGTAGTAGTAGTAATAGTAGTAGTAGTAGTAAACATTGTATGATAGCTGTAGCATTCAAACAGGGAACACTATAAATGTACTTTCTAAAGTATAAAGTCACAGTTTGGTTTAGGTACTTGAAGTAGTAGAATCTGGGGGTAGGATGTAGTGTACACTGAAATACTTAACAGGTAACATGGAGAGGATTTTCCCTACTTAAGTGATAGAAGCAGGCATGAGCGGTCCTGTGAAGTTCCCAAATCTATGGAGTGTCATGGGACGGGGTTGGTCCTTCTTCCCTAAAAAGGAATTAGTAGGTTTTCTATGAAAATCATGATGGGAGGTAAATCACTGAGCCTGGGAACAGCCATGTGGCAGAAGGTAGGTATAGTTGAAGCATCTTAAAGTTCACTGGTTGTCTCCAGTTTCTGTTGATCTAGGGAACAAAAGGCATTTTTCTCTTTGCCCAGTTAAACAAAGAGCATGCTACTAAGGAGATTCATTAGATTGGGGCCACTTTGTTTCATGGATTAAAAACACCCTGCCCAGCCATTTCTTTAAAGGAAAACATGAGACTTCCTAAATTTCTGATAATTTCTCTTTGCCAAGATAGGTCATTGTGTTCCTCATGGATGAGGTAGAACTGATATCTGAATGGGCTTTTATAAATTTGATTATAGGAAATCATGAAGAGCATCATGATGAAAAAAAAAAAAAGCAACACCGGAATCAATGGCCTCCAAGGGGATATTCAGGGTAGGGGAATTACCATGCAAAAAGGAGCACATATCAAGCCAAAAGAGCCACATTCATGATGCAAGGGTAGAGAAAATCTGCTCATATCACTGGTTTACTTTGCTTAACCAGTCTGTATTGCCTATTTTCTGTGTGGCATTTGTATCATCTGTTTCATCCAAAGTGAACTGACCAGGCCAAGGAATTCCCAGCACTTTCTGAACTGACTGTAAAGAATTAGAGTGAGAGGCACATGTTTCCTGCATGGGTCACTGTTTCTTATTGGCAGGTATTTCATAGCAAAAAAAGAAAAAAGAAAAGAAAAAACTTCATAAAATAAAAATTCATATCCTGTCCTAACATTAAGAGTCAGAGGACCTCTGGGGGTATATAAATGCCTCAGGAGCATGTTTTTACTGGACTACTGCATGTAAAATGTAATAAGAAAAGGAAAAGTCACAGTTCACCAAGAAATGAGCTGGGATCACAACTGGAAGGTGTTTGAGAGATAGAAATCTCTCAAAGTCCTCATCACCTATCACTACACCATTCCCATTCTGAAAGTATCTTCCATCCCACCTTAGGAAATATTATCTCCTGGTCCAAGTTCAGGTGCAAGAACTGACTCAGTTCAGCCAGAAGTTACAAGAAGCAAAGAGATTCCTCCTTCTACCTCAGTCAGCATCTCAAGAAATGCCTCACCCAGAAAGACAGTCACCAGGGGCAGGACATCCACAAACAACTGGCTGAAGGCTGCAGGCTGGCAGAAAGCTTTGTCTATGGGTTTAGTGCAGGTTGGGTGGCCTTGATCACACTAAACTGCTCTGAAGTCCCTGGTTCACAGGATGCTTGAAATCTCCACCAGTAGCATTTCACCAGCTGCTCTGGTTTCTACATCACAGCTGAGGCCATGGTAGGATGACTACAGCCTGAGAGGGAACAAAAGGAGAACTGTGCTGTATTGGAGATCACAATATTCCAACTGTCTCTATTCTCCCTAATGGTGTGTGGCCTCTGGAGCAAGAGATAGCAACCACCAGTGCTCAAAGTCAAGAGGCAGATAGATTCTTAAGAGTACAGAGAACCTGAACTAGTAAAGAAAGTTTCTTCAGCTCTTCCTGAGCACTGGCTTTTATACCTGTTGGCACATGGTTCACTTCTGCCTTCTAGGGTTTTTGTTTCCTCATCTGTAAAATGAATCAAATAATGTGTTGTATTTAGCTCTAGCAAATGAACGAAGGAATTCCCATGAACTCGTTTTAAACCACAGTGCTGATAAGTGTTTGGGGTTCCTTCAGTTAAAAAAATGGAATGAGGTGGCAGAAATGTTGGTTCATACGAGAACAAATTCTAAAGTTTAAATTGCCCCCAGTAGATTGCAGAAGCCAATTTGGAGATGCCCATAAAGTCCCTAATATAGGAAGGGATGAAGTACAGGAAGTAGGTTCTATTTGAGAATTTTGAGGGGGCACAGAGCTATTAAGACTGGGAATGAGCTTTGTAGACGGAAGACAGATGTAACTAGAGAAATCCAAATAACCTGGACAAGTATCCAATAATCGGGAGACCAAAATACATTTTGACTCTACCCATTTAATCAGAGCATGCCATAATGATGATGCAACCAACAGTGTGCATCATAGCATCCCAGACCATTTCTTTTAAGTCAAAATATGAGACCATTCAGGACAATCCTGTATGTGCATTCTATATTTATACATACATAATTTATGTCTCTGTGCTCAGGTAGAATGCTGTATTGAAATGTGTAAAATAGAGCTATTTAATGACTTCTGGGCATTTCTGAATTTTTTGGCAGAATATGAGGAGGAGGAGGAGGATAAAGAAGAAGGAGAGCCACTGGATTACACATAACAATGAATGACCAAAGACAATAAGCAAGGGTAATACAATGGGGTTTGGGTATTCTAAAATACACAACATGAGGCCAAAAGTAGCTGCATATTCCATAATCAAAGGTAAAATAAGCTTCTGATTGCCTGATGTTGTTCATTCAACTAAAGATGACAGTCTTTTTTTCATTTTATATGACAGCAGAATGCATTAGAATTCATATTACACATATAGAGCACAATTTTTCATATCTCTGGTTGTATACAAAGTATATTCACACCATTCATGTCTTCATACATGTACTAAGGGTAATATCTATCCCATTCCACCAGACATAGTCCTTTTAACCAGGTTATGAATTTCATTTATGCTAGTTGTAGAATGAGTCTGTCCAAGGGGAACAAGCAGTGGTTGTTGTTGTTGTTGTTGTTAGATATACGTAACAGTAGAGTGTATTTTGATGTATCATACATACATGAAGTGCAACCTATTCCAATTAAGATCCTATTCTTGTGATTGTACATAAATACCAGTGAGTATTTTCACTGGTCATGTGTTCATATATAAACATAGGAAAGTTGTGTCTAATTCATTCTACTGTCTTTCCTAATCCCATCCCACCTCTTTTCCCTTCATTCTCCTTGGTCTAATCCAATGAACTTCTATTCTTCCTTTTTCCCTCACCCCTTTATTATGTGTTAGCATACACATATCAGAGAGAACATTTGGCCTTTGGTTTTGGGGGATGGCTTATTTCACTTAGCATGATATTCTCTAGGTCCATCCATTTACTGTCAAATATCATTTCATTTATCTTTATGGCTAAGTAACATTCTATGGTGTATACCTGTCACATTTTCATTATCCATTACACCTAAGTTGGCTCCATAGCTTTGCTATTGTGAATTGAGCTGCTATAAACATCCATGTGGCTGAGTCCCTGTATTATGCTGATTTTAAGTCCTTTGGGTATATACCTAGAAATGGCAACTTCTTGTCCTTAGAAAAAATCACTTTTTCCTTTGTAAGGACTAAAATAAGAATTACATAAATAACTTCTTTCAACATAGTTATTCCAAGATCATGAACAGTTCTGTTATAGCAAAAATAGCACATACACAAACAACAACATATCATATGATGTCAAGATATTGATAGGAAGAGGCCTAGAAGGCACAAGTTCTCTAGATCTTTTCAAATGCAGGAGGCTGTATTGACTGGATAGGTGAGTGTAAAATTCAACTTTGGTTATGCACAAGGTTGACTCACTCTTATGTTGTTCACTCTGAACTGTTTTCTGTTCTCATAGCTGCTGTCCTGATATTCCCTGTAACTGCCACACTGAAGCACAGGCAGCTTGGGGTCCAAATATTATGAAAAGCATCTTGTAAACACATGGTGCTGTCCCTGAAATCACACACTTTGCATGCTGCTTTGCCTTCTCTTCCCAGCTCCCTCAGCTCCACTGCCTCTTTCTCCTGGGAAGCATGGCCTTCATAAATCACTGGCACATGGACACTTCTCCAAGTTCATGTTTTAGAACAAGACTAAGTCAACTCTTAAATCTTTTTTCAGTCAACCTTTAACTTTTATACAAATGAAAAAGTTAAAGCTGACAAGAAAGAGTCCTGATTACAAAAACAAAATTGCAATGTGTGATACAGATGGGAATCACATACTGTTCTGAGGACAGTTTTTGTCTTTGGTATCACATGGACAGTCACGAGCAGGACTCTGTATCTGGAATTCATGGACTTATTGAAGGGGACACTCACTGGAGGGCTGTAGATGGCACTGTAAAAGGACTTCAGCCTAATAACTGATGCCTAGGGTGGGAATTCAAGTGGCAAAGATCATGTGCTGCTTTGGTACTTTTTTCTCCTCTTTTTAGACCCTTTTCCACTTTGACATGTCCAGTTAAGAATCTAAAATACAAGAACTACATTTAATCTTGAGGTCTGACATTATAAGAGAGCATTTTCATTAATTGACTCTTAGAAAAGTGAGTCCAGGGACCAGTTTTTCAAGACCCAGTATACAAGATGGTGGAATACAGGAGTTTACATTCCTGGCTGCTCCATGGCATGAAACCAATAAAGCAGACAGGCAGCTTTTCCACAAAGTATGTGAACAAGAAGGGGAGCAGGTACTTTACTAGAACCTAAAAGTGGACATTCAAAGCAGATTGGGAACACACAAGGTTGGATATAATAAAATAAGGGAAAAAGCCCCAGTGATTCAGCCATTGTCACAGGAGGGCCAGAAGCTCCAGCCAGAGAGGTCCCCCTGTGAGCATAGTAGAGGGATAAGAGAATTAAAGGAACCTGCATTTTTGGAGGACCCAAGGCATGTCTGGATACAGAGCAGTTAGAGACCAAGGATATTGCCCAACAAACCTGAAGGACATGCTGCACGATATCTGAATGTGGGGAAAGAAGCTGCCATCTTTCCAGGTGGTCTGTGAAGGACTTAGGAAGGAACCATTTTGCAGCTGTACTCAGGGGCTGGCAACCAAGGAAGCCAATTCCTGGCAAACTCAAGTTTGGCCCAAAATAAAGGCCCAGTAAACATGTGCTGCATGACACAGAGTGTGCTTAAGAGACCAGAAAAAATCAAACATGGAGAGAGGTTTACACAAGGGACAACTGGTCATTGAAACCCACTGGCTCTACCCCACTCTCTCCAACCCAACTGCTTGCAGAAATGGCTGGGAGAGATGCATCTGGATGGGAAATCAGAAGGGTGAGGATGGGAGAAATTGTTTGGAGACTGAACCTGAGACCAGGAAATGTGGAGTCTGTGGGTGACAGAGGAGACTAAGAATTGGCTCCTCCACCACACAAGTGGAACCCAAGGGAGATCCCTGGGGTAAAGTCTTCCAATGTGGACCAGCAAGTATAGGTTGCTGGCAGTGCACTAATTTAAAATCTCCAGACCGGCTGTGGGCTGGCGGGCTAGTGGGATGGCAGATGAGGAAGAAGACCTGAGCTTTGAGGAGGAAAATGAAGAAATTGGAGGAGGTGCAGAAGGTGGACAGGGTAAAAGAAAGAGAATTTTTACTAAAGAATTGCGATGCATGATGTATGGGTTTGGGGATGACCAGAATCCTTACACTTAGTCATTAGATAGTCTTGAAGACCTTGTCATAGAGTTCATCACTGAAATAACTCACAAGGCAATGTCAATTGGAAGACAAGGTCAAGTACAAGTTGAAGATACCGTCTTCTTGATTCGAAAGGACCCAAGGAAGCTTGCTAGGGTTAAAGACTTGCTCACCATGAATGAAGAATTGAAACGAGCTAGAAAAGCATTTGATGAAGCAAACTATGGATCTTGATAAATTTTGTACTTCATGAAATTTCATTATCTTCTGTGGAAATCATATACAATAATTGTGTATTTTGTTCAGTAATGTCCTAATATCTAGGCATGTAAATAAAAGATGGAGAAACAAAGTTTTCAGCCTTTATTTTCATGTCTTTGATTTTAGAGTGATCCTTGAGCCTCTAATTGCCTGCCTTTACATGACTATACTTGAATTACTTACTGAGTTTAATGACTACGCGTAAGTTAAAGTACCTTACAAATTATGCAGTTCCTTCTCACTTTTGACTATCTAAAGGATGAAGTAGTATTTATGTGTTAGGTATATTTGTGCCATTATAAGCTATACTCTAGCTGTTTAATGTGAAATATAAGTGTCATTTTGACTATGACAGCTGAGACATATGCCTTACGTATTCTGAAGTTTTTAGACAACAGTGGTCTGAGATGTTATTAAAGATAGTGAACTGGTTTTTCTTTTAAGGAGATGATATTTGAAACTACAAGTTTTTGTAAGAATGTTTATGTGTCTTAAATGATAATTTGTTTTGATATTTTCTAAAGAGTGATTTTTTTATTTTTATTTTTTTAGAAACTTTAAGTTTCATGTTGATGCTTCCATGTTGAAAGACTTTTTTATTTAAAACCTTCTGGACTTAGGTTACTTTTTAAGTTTTAGAACTCATTTTCCCAATCAAAGCCAAAGGCATTCAGGCAAATACTTAAACACCTGAGTACAAAACAATGGCTGAGGACAGTATCTCCCTATTGGAGTAGTTCAGGACTAAAGATCATCAAGTCAAGAACTAGTTTCTGGAGAGCCATACCTGAACCCACTGCATATTTAAGGACTCAAAGTCTGTTTAGTATACTGCATACAGAAAATGTTCATAAGAGTAATCAAGAGATCATGCTATAGCAAACCAGACATTTCTGTTCTTAATTCCTCACTCTGGTCCTGCACCTCCTCTCCTGTGTATTATTTAGTCCTTATTTATATTTTTAATGAAATTGCAAGTTCATAGTTAGGTTCTATTCCCTCCTCTGTCTCATCAGCCATCTCCAACTGCCCATGTCCTAGGCAGACTGCACCCACATCTGGTCTCTTACCTGGAACCTGGAGTTTATTCTCTTCCTTACCTCTTCTCTTCCTTTTCCCATCAAAACTGCTCTAGGTGAGACAAGGACCAGCCTCACCCTACCCTCCACCTCCATTTGTGGGGACAGATTCCCATTCTCCAGAAGTTCCTCCTCTGTCCCCAATTATGGGCACTGATATTAACTTGTTAAACTCTCTTATTAATTCTGGCACTCAGGCTTTCCCCATTAGGTATGAAATCAGCTGTAGGCTGTTTATAGGACTTCTGTCAGATGGAGGTGTTTTCCTTCTCATCCTATTTGCTTAGCACTTAGAACATGACTGGGTGTTGAATTTTGTGAAGTCCTAGTTTTGCATCTCTTAAGACGATGAATAATTTTGTTAACATGATTAATAGCACTATTGAATATTCTATTGTTCACAGGACTACAGTATTCCTGAGAGATTACTCACTTGATCATGATGTATTATCTATTTTATTTTGATATTTATTTTCCTAATATTTTGTGGTGTTCATTGTGTTTCTCTCTTCATGAAGGATATTAGTTTGTAATTTTCTTATCTTAAAATGTTATTGTGATGACTGAGATTTTAGCTCAGCAGTAAAGTGCTTGACTAGGGTTCACAAGGCCCTGGGTTTGATCACCAGCACTGAAAAAAGTAATCATAATTATAAATATTAATTTAAAAATTAAGTGTTGCTTGATTATTTTGTGATCAGGATCCTTCTGGCCTCATGGGTTTGGCAATATAATATATCCTAGGCATGTTATCATAAAATCTTTGTTTAAGATTAGTATTACTTGGTTCTTAAATATTTGATAGAATCACCAATGAATATGTTTCTAGTGTCTGTTTAGTAAGGTTTTTATAAATTTAATTACTATAACATGTATATAGCTATTCAGATTTTCCACTTTTTTCTTATATATTCTGATAATTTGTTTTTCCAGATTTTTTGTCTATGTTGTCATTGAGCTAAATGTTTTTCCTGTGATATATCCTTATAAGAAGATATATAGGACTACATTATTGTAATACCTTAGGATATATTGAGATATCTTTTGTATTTAGATATTGCTCATTGTGCTTTTCTTTCTCACTTAATCTTGCTCTCATCAAATTTATTAAACTTTTTGAAAAGTCATCTTTCTGTTCTCTTGTTTTTTATAGTGT